TCCTCTCGTGTGGAAGCTGTAGGCTGCCGTGTCTGGAGGCAGGCTCATTCAGCCCAAGCAGTCATGGTGGATCACTTTATCTAGTTTTAGATGTTTGTTACAGTCTTCCAGCTTAGCTGGCATCCCTTTGCTCCCTTTGGAACTGGTGAAGAAAAATATAAAGTTTTACAGCACAGTTCATCTGACCTGTTTGAAATCTATTATTCTCTAGAAGTGTTTGTTCCTCTCTCTCTGGATTATAAAGAACAGTAGTGGTTTACTCTGATATGAACAGTAACACTGTAAATCTCTTTACTTGGATAGATTAATCCCTGTAATATCTGTAGAACTTCAGCACATCCATCAGCAAAGTTAGCCATCATGGTGGCTTTCCCCAAAGACAAGCTGGGAGAGTTGTGGCTGTTGACCAACAAGCAGTAGCATCTCAATGAATTAACACTGTGTAAGAGCTTTGTATAGATTAATACTATCAGAGCAGTTTAGGGGAGCAGGAGGGTCTGGATAAGTTGCAACCAGGGTAATGTGGCAATTATATCCCAGATTTAGGATCTTTCATGAGATGCATGTTGTGTTTGTAATGCCAGTGAGCTAAGTGCTTGGTCAAGTGCAGATGGTATAGGAAGTTCTAGGCTGTTGTGACATTTCTGTGTGAAGCAGACACTTGTGTGAATGATCTTTTTGCTTATTGTTATAAATGGGTGAATGTTCACTATTTTTCATTTCCCATTGAGAAATGTTTTCCGTTGTCAGTCCTACTCCATCTGTAAATATTGGCTGTTATCTACGAAATCCCTTAATGAAACAACAGTGTTATGAATGCTCTTGACCCATGCTTAGGTGATGGGATCCATGCTATTGTGGCTTTTCTGCTTCATTACTAGCTCTTCTTGTTTGCCTAACTTGTTCTAGCTTGCTTGTCTGATCAGATAAGTGCTAATCCACTCTCTGTTCCTTTACATGATGCTGTATAGGAAAGTTTCCTTAAACACTCTGCATAAGAATGGGAAGGGTGAGAAGGCTATTAATCCTCTTTGAGTCTTCTATAGCTGTGTACTCATAGGATTTGTGAAATCCTATCTATTGGATTGTAAACTCATTAAGCACAGGGATCATGTCTGGTAAATAGGACTCCTTTTTCTCCTGTCCCAGCACGGACAATGTGGCAGAAGGAGGCTTTCCTTCTGGTGCAAGACTTGCTCTGCTGAACTACACTTAATTCTCTGTAATGTCACAGTAACCTTAGGCAAAACAAATCCTTCGGTGTCCAAGTTCCCCATGTGGAAAAAAGTGGCATTTTACAGACTAGCTAACATGTAAAGAGATCGATCATAACCCTTTTTCATCTCTTCAGGATCTGCTCCTATTTCAGTTCAGAGCAGAGACTTGCTGGGGGATGTATGCTAATGGGAGACTTGAGGCATGGCAATATCTGGAAGATCAGATCAGGGAACATTTATTTGAAGACTTTAAAATGCTCAGGAGAGAGAAACATGGAGAAATTTGGATGGGAAAATCATATGTAATTCTTTAGGGTAGAGACTGACTTTGAATTGTTCCCCTGCCAAAATCCCCTAAGGTGCACTGAGAGGGAATGTCACATAAACAAGATCTGGGGTGAAGATACACAGTTTTGTTTCAGAAGACTTAGGCAGGTTATGAGAGGATTTCTGAATGATCTTCTCCTGCCTACCCTTATTTTTCCACCATCTGCTTATGTTGTTTATTCATCAGCTAACTCCCCTTTCTCTAGCTCTCTAACTTCTTATACTGCTTGGGAGCAGACAGTGCAAAGTGCATTACCTATAGCCCTCAGCAATATGAAGTGTGAGGCTGCTAAGTTTTACATTGGGTCTTACAACCTGGTGAAGTGGTAGAGTCACTGTCCCTGGAGGTGTTCATGAAGTGTGTAGATGTGGCACAGAGGGACATGGTATAGTTGACATGGTGGTGATGGTTGACAGCTGGGCTAGATGATCTTGTCCAACCTTAGTTATTATATGTTTCTATGATTTCCTGATGTTTTACTGAGATTTAGAAAGAGTCAAATATCACCAACTTGTGGTTCTGGAATCACTGCTGTTTAAAGTGTGTTGTCTGCTGCCAAGAGCAGTTTTCTTTTTGTGCATCTGAAAGGCAACTGGGCTTGTTTTGTCCTTTTATAGGAAGATCAGATGCACATTGAAGCAGACCAGTTGTTTGACTCTAGGAGTTACTCAGTCTTGTGTTTTACTGGAGATGAGCCCTTTTGATCCTCAAGTCCTCAAGCTTATGACAAAAGAAAAGCTTGTGGTTGTCTTGAGGAAGTCAAAATAAATAACATTAATATTCTATGCATGTCAGTCTCTGAGTTATGAAATCACTCTGATATGTCACACAAAAGCTGAAAAGAATGGAATTAGAAGTTCTAGAGGAAAATTTTCAAAAAGTTGTGTTGCTATTTTATAGGAGAAATAGGGCTCCCATCTCTTATTAAATAAATGAAATACCCAACATGTGAAGAAGAAGAAACACTTAAATTTTTCTCAAATTGTTCTACTGAAGTGAAAGCTTTAAGATGCATTTGAAAATACAAGCTGTTTCCTTTGGTCACTGTGTATAAAAATAATAGCATGCATCCCCTTTTCAGCACCTGCTTATGTGCCATTGATTTTAATATCCCTGATGTGCTCATGAGAAAAGCTGGTGATGAAAATGAGTAGATTTGGAAGATTGCAGGAGAAGTCTGGATGGGTGGGGACTTAGGGATTACTTTATATCCAACTCCATGCTTGAAGAACAGAGGTAAACTTTCCTGGAGTGTTTCCTTGTATCCTCTGAATTCAGAGAGATACCTCTAACTTTGTGCTCATCAGTGCTTTCTCAGACGGTGAGAAGTGATTCTTGGAATATAGTTTAAACTCATGGCTGAATGGAAAATATAGGTAGGAAAATTAATGCAATCTTGCCTTTAGGTTTAATGCTTTCTGGGAATAAATCCATGAAGTCTAGGAAGGGCTCTGTCACTAGCAACAGTTTCCTGTGATTTAATGTTTCAGCAGTGTGTTTAGTGTCATATAGACTTAAGTGGAAAATGAATCCCAATTTATTGTGGCTTCTGCTCTGGTTTCTTTATTTAGGGGTAGATTCTGTCATCCTGATAAGTAAATTATGGAGAATTTTAATCTGCTAAGAGGTATGCTGAGATACCAGTGGGACTGTCTGAACATCGATCTTTTTTGCAAGCTGTGTTGCTAAATCAGCAGGGCTGGCGAGTACACTGTAGTCATTTCTGAATCACATAATTCAGGGTGTGGTATTTAAAAAAAAAAAAAAAAAAAAAGAATAATTGTCTTACTTGGCTTCTGTTTATGTGAAAAGTTTAGTAGGATCAGTTGAACTAATGAAAATACTGAATTATTAGAATGTTTTCAGTAATTGTCAAAATTCCGCTGTTCAGCAATCTGAATTAAATGAATGTTTGCAAATCTTGGTGTTTCCCATTAATTATGAGGAAATGGTGATACCCACACAGTAATCATGGGAAGCATTGCAGTGAGGATAGCCCTTCGCTGTTGTTCTTTTTCTGTTTTTGTGGTGATGGTGAGGCTACTTTGATCCTTGGGAGGGTACTGTCAGTGCTGAGCTCTGCCCACATCCTGCCTGTCCCTGCCTGTTTACTTGCAGGGTTCCAGACTGCAAGAAAGGCATTCTTTTGTCACAAGGCAGAGATCAGAAACAAGGTAGGTCTTATACATAGTAAACAAAATACTTGTCCCTCCTCTCGTTCTACTCCCATGTTGAGAAATGGGAAAACATAGTACAGTCCTAATTGAAATCTTTGCTTTTCAAAGGCAGTTGTAGTTGAAGAGCAGTTTCTCATCAAGTATAAGAGTCATTTCTGAGTAACTGCTGAATGGGCATAAATGCTTTGGTAATATAATTTAGGAGCTCATCCCCTGAAGAAAGGTGGCTAAGGTTCAGCACTGAGGGCAGTGAAGCTTTATTTGTGCTTCATACTTGTGGAATTCCACTGAGGTTGGTTTTTTATTTTCATTATTATTATTTGCTAGCATTTTTGGTGTTTCCTTTGATTTACACTAATACATAGAGTTGCAGCTGCCCATCAGGAGGGATTTAGAGTGAGATACCAAAGATATGCTGTTACAAAAACATAATTGATTCCTGCCACTTGGAATCTGATGAAACTGAAATGTGTTGAGCGTAGATATGTAGTCTGCACTTGCATGATCTTTCCAAAAACTCATGTTCCTTTGAAGTCATGTCACTGTCCTGACTTTCCTGTTCTTGAATTGTTGCCAGTGAAACTGAGTCTTCCTGGTGTAATTCATAGGCTGGAATCATAAAGCTGACGCTCTTGTATGCTGGTATGCACTGGGAAAGAAATCTTTTTTGCCTCCAGGATGTTATTAGGAACAAGATGACAACTTAAGAATATTTTCCAGGTGTCATAACGCTTTCATACACTGGAATGTTGAATAATGTTGGTGATAGCAACATAGTTACTTGTGACAGAAGAGCTAGTGTTTCTGTTGCGTTCAGTTGCAGCTAGCTTTCCTAGAATCATAGAATAACTCAGGATGGAAAAGACCTTAAAGATAAATGAGTTCAACCACAACCTAACCATACTACCCTAACTCTAACAACCCTCTGCTAAATCATGTCCCTGAGCACCACATCCAAATGGTTTTTAAACACATCCAGGGTTGGTGACTCAACCACCTCCCTGGGGAGCCTATTCCAGTGCTTAACAACCCTTACTGTAAAGAAGTGTTTCCTGATATCCAACCTAAACTTACCCTGGTGCGACTTGAGGCCAATTCCCCTCAAACTGTCACCTGTCACCAGTGAGAAGAGACCAACCCCGCTCTCGCTGTAAGTACCTTTCAGGTACTGGAAGAGAGCAATACAAAATCTTAATGTTGAGGCTCGTATTCTAGCTTCTAACATTGGTCTTTGATTTTGATGCTTACAGGGTCTCCAAGTGGAAAGCACATAAAAGAAGGGGAAGCACTGGTCTGGTAGGTATTTGGTGACATCTGCGTGGTTATAACCGAATGCTTTATGAAAGCAATGGACTAAATTTTGTAAGAAAATGTACTGAAACAAAGCTTTTGCATGAAATCTGATAGTAAGCTATGAAGGATGTTGTGCTGTTGGTTGTTTTTTTGTTTTGTTTTGTTCTGGTATGTGTCATATTTTATGGTAGACTCTTCATAATTAGCTAAGCCAGAGGCAACCTAGATGAGCTGCTGCAAGTGGGTAAATGCCAAATTGATATCACTGTATGGAAAGGGAATAAGGTGTCCAATGTCAGTGAAGGAACCTGGGAGTACACACTCCCAAGTGGATGTACCTTGCAATTTTGTCTGCCAAATATTTTTCCACATGTGTCAGAAGTAGTAAGTTGGTGTCAGGTATGAAGAACTGTACTATGCATTTGATCTTTTCTATGTTTCTCATACCTTAGAAGGAAGTAAAATTCTCTCTGTTTAAAAAGGATAGCAAATGCGAAGTGCTGGGGTACTTCTCTCCGACTGACTTGGGAGACAGAGCTGGTGTTCATACAGTTGGGGGCATGAAAGATGAGTTAATCCTACATCAGTCTTCTGGTCAGATGGTTTTTTCGAAGAACAAGAGAAACCCAGCACTCTCTTAAACATTGCTACTTGAAGAGAAAAAAAGAAATCCCTTTCAACAGATAAATGTCAAACATGACCATTGCACTGTATGATGCCAGTCATATAAAGAAGATCATGATGTGGAAAGCTTATGTAAGTCAAACTGAGTATAATGGCTTTCCAAAGTTTTCATATCCCAAGTAGTGTTGAAGATTTTTCACTTCACTGAACTTGATAGTGTCAGAATTCTGCTTTATTTTTACTTACACAGCAAATATTTCTCAAAATCTATTTAGCCATCTTGAACAAAGGTCATTTCTTTTCCCATCCCCTTCAGAGCATTTTGGGATTTTTTATATCAGTTGTTGCTTTAGCGTAAAACTCTTTGGATGTTAAACTTGCCTGAGAGATGTAAGTCTTTGAGCTGGCATGTTGTTTCACTGCAAACGAAAGCCACAGTCCAACAATTTAGATTTAAGCACATTGAATTTTGGAGAGAAAATTCCTTCCCAGAATTTGGGAGTCGCCCCAGCAACTCGCATGCCATGCATGCCAAGTGGATGAGGAAGGGTAGAAGCTGAATTGAGAGGATTGCATTGGGAGACCTGAAAGTTAAATAACTTAACAATAGCTGAAAAATGAACTTTCTTAGATAGCTTTAAAAAATGTTTCCTAATAAAAAATACGGTGAATGCAGTTGCTATAGCTACTTGGGGGGCTTTGATGGAGAACTTTTTGAGATGCTTACTGTTTAGTTGTAGACAAATGCGTAGTTCTTCTCACTCTGAGGATTCAGCATCACCTTGTGTTTGGCTTCTCTCCTAGAGAATTTAAGCTGCCACTAGTAAGCAGCCACAGTGTCTAGAGTTTCTGGACAGCATATAATAAGTGATGTGCTATGATCTTGTGAATTTATTTATTTTTTCTTTTATTGCACAAATGAAACACTGATGTTTAATTTCTAATTTGCTTCTTACTTGGGGCTCTTTTTGGGTTAGGGAATGACTCGGCATTGTGGAGTTTCATGTTTGCCTTTATAGCAAAAATTTTGATTTTTTTAATGCATTACTTGAGCATAACAACTCACTCTGGACCCCAAAAACAAGGAAGAGTTTTAGTTTAAAGTATGACCATTTGAGGATGCTAAAAAGAGAAAATTAATAGATTCATTCTGGAGTTTCAGTATGTTGGACGATGGGAACTGAACAACTGTCTAGTTGTGGTGCAGGACTCACTTTTGTCTCATAAATCAAGACTGAAGGCTTTCTAGAGCAGTTAATAGAGCAGTCAATGTACTGCATCTTTTGTACAAGATGTAAATAACATACTGGTTTTTAAGTACATTTTTGGACTTATGTTTTGCAGGAGGTCAGACTGCACATAATTCTCCCTCATCTGTAATAAACTCTAAATAAAAATTTTTCTTTGAATACATCAACGTGACTGTCACAATCTTTCATTCATTAAATTTGGCCTTCTGCATACCCATGGAATGCAGGAGCTGTAACTTTTTTTATCCAGTAAGAAGCAGACTGTCAGCCATACTAACACATAAACAAAAGAGCAAAACAAGCACAATCTCACAATATTTTTTCATCCTTTTAAATAATTGAAATAAGAAGATATGCTCAAAATACTTGAAAAGAGGCAACATCTTTATTAAAACTGTTACTCTTCAGAAAACTACCACACTGGAAATTTTGCTTTTCTGTATATGGAGTGAATTCATGTGCATCTCTTCCTATCACTATGGTACATTTGTACTTTTGCACATTCCTCTGTATGAGAAGAGCAAAGGAAAATGCTTGCTACTTGGTGGGGAAAGAGATCCAGTAACAAAAAAAATCCTGGAAAAGGTCAAGGAACTTTGCTTTATTTTTTTACCTTTGTTTTTATTGATGATCTGCCCTCAGGTAACCTCAATTTTGTCCTTCTACTCAAATCTGCCTTTTTAGCACAGTTTTATCATTTTGGAAGAGATACTTCAGAACTGAGATGTGCTTCTTCAGTTCCCCATTAGACAGACTTCCTACTTCAACAGTTTACACCCTCTGCATCTGAACTTGCTAAAATTTCCTATTATTGGTATTCATGTGTTTGTAGTTGATGCTTTTGGCTGGCTTTCTTATGTCACCTTGACCAGACAGATATCTGTTGAAATAACAGTACCTAAATCTTTACTGTTTGTCTAGCTGCCTTTATTGCCTTTGGGAAAAATAAGCACTTCTTGTACGTAGTTCATTTATTTTACTCATCTCTTTAGGAAGATGTAAAATCAATCTGGCTATGGATTTTTTTGTTTCTTGTGAACTAGAAGGGGAACCCATCCTTAGTAGCTGAAGTATGAAAACACATACAGTGTTAGGCATCTACAGTCTGAATTTTGATTAGATAAATTGGATACAATGAGACTTGAGGTGATTATTCCAGTCAGTGTCAGAATTATTGACCTGACCCTTTGCTAGCTCTTGCCTGAAGCACAGAAAGGCAGACTGAGCTGTTGTGCAAGACTGGAAGGTATTGGCCTTTCTTGTAAAGTGATAATTCTTCAGCGTCCATCATTCCCTGGTGGGAGAGCTGTGTGTGGGCTGTAGAACACAAATTTTTGTCTCTTTTCCTTTCTGTGGGAGTGGCAGTGATGGTGACGGCCCTTCATGGAAGAAAATGAGAGTAATGTATGCATTGTCTGGCTAAAGTTCTTTTCTGTTTCATTGACAGCTTCTGAATCTTAATTTGCTAATTTTTTTTGTCTCCATCAGTACTTGCCTGTTGTTCTTATTCACAGCCTTGGAAACATGAAAGCTAAGAAAAGGAGCAAACATGAAGCTCTGCTGTAGCTCTTCCGGCAGGATCCTGTCAGGATTCATGGACAGTAGCTTTTTTCCTATTGCATTCGGAAACTTGGGGAGGGAGGAGTGAAGTGTGTCTTATCTCAATCTCAGACTTATGATCCTTGTAATTCTGCTTTTGCTTGATTCTTGTATTTGATTTGTATTTGATTCTTGCCTATTTGTCCTCTGTTAATGATGGCCACAGTGCTGGACAGAAATTCCTGAAATGTCAAGGATATGTTGTTCAACTTGCCTTGACTCAAAGTTGATGCTATCTTAATGCTGTGCCTCTTATTTCTCTTAATTTAAAGAAGTGCACTGTGATGGTGAAGACAACTACGTTTCAGACCAATGTGGTCAGGGTAGTTGTGTCTTTCATTCCTAGCCCCAACACCTTACATGGCTGAGAGCAGTATTTGAGATTAGAGCTAGAAGATTCTTGGGGAACATTTAGGCAGCCTTTAATTCTCCATAAAACCTCCTAAAAACACCTAAACTGATTTCATGTTACCTTCCTGCTCTGCTCCGCACTGGTGCAGCCTCACCTTTAGCACAGATTTGCAGATTTGGGTGCAACAGTATGAGAAGAACATAAAACTATTAGAGAGCAAGGAAGGAAATGAAAATGGTGAAGGGTCTAGAGGGCAAGATGGATGAGGAGCAGCTGAAGTCACTCAGTTTGAACAGTAGAGCAGAGGAGGCTGAGGGGAAGCCTCATGGCAGCCTACAGAGAATGGTGGGCATGGAACAGGCTCCCCAGCAGTGGTCATGGCCCCAAATTGCTGGAGTTCAAGGAGCACTTGGACAACGCTCTCAGATGTAGAGTCTGTTTCTGGGTGCTCCTGTGTGAAGCTAGGAGTTGGTCTTGATCCTTGTAGGCTCCTTCCAATTGAGATATTCTATGATTCTGTGATTAAGTTTGAGTTCTGTTGTTGGACTTCATCAGAGCTGAGTGCCTTGAGGGATTTTAGCTACACATTATGAGAAATAAACAGTAGCAATCCTAAGTGGGTTCCAGTCCTGTTTTGTGTTTCAGGCTAGTATCCCAAGTGCTTTGCTACCATGAAAATTATCTGTGAATTGCTTTCTACCCCTAGGCCCCTCTGCAACAGGGAGGCAAAGAATGACCTTCTCTAAAATTTGTAGAGGGAGAGAGTTATAAAGTCATTGAATCATAGAATCATAGAATAATTTGAATCAAAAGGGACTTTTAAAGGTCTCATAGTTCAATCTCCTACACTGAACAGGAACGTCTACAGATAGATCAGGTTGCTTAGAGTCCCCTCCAGCCTAACCATGAATGTTTCCAGGGATGAATCATCTACCACATTTCTGGGCAACCTGTTATAGTGCTTCACTACCCTTAATGTAAAAAAAAATAATCCCTATATCCATTAAGCTGCATTCTTTGTCTCTTCAGCTGCACTTCTTTCTTGTGTTTTAATAGAGAGGTGACAATGCATGTCCTCAAAGAGCATGGAGTTACTCAGATGGATGGATTTCTGGTAGTGGATCCTTCAAAGGGAATAAGGCATTACAAATGTCGAGTGAAGTGTGAAAGCATCAGGG